GAATCTGAAGTCCTTGTTTTTCGTGATAGCCATCGTATTCTTGTCAATTAAAAAAAGATTCTGTTCATCAGTTAAATCATTTGGACTTGGAGTGTGACATCCTGTTCCTTTTTCTCTAGACTTCAAAAATGATGTTGAATTTGAATTGGAAGGAACAGTTAACCGAATCTGTTTGGACGACACATTTCATGTAAATATGTCTGTGTTTCATCCATGTGGCTGTTGGGTTCTCTGGGGGTAACACTTCCCCTCATCTTTCAAAATGTAACGATAGCAGAGGGGGAAAGTCTGTCCCGTTGCGCTATAAAAGGCAGCAAAGTGCCAAGTCCATGAAAACAGGGATTTACCTTTCCATTTTCTAAAGAAATCTGGTGTTCATGGAGGATGGGAAGCAGCAGCAATATCCAAATGCAAGCTGTTGACATGGAGGTTGGTTTTAGGAGGCTGATTTTGAATGCAATATCGAGATGGAATATTTCATGTCTGGTTTCGATATTACAAATGTCTTTGCTTCCTCCTCAATTTGTTCCTAATTAAATTTCTTTACAATTTAATGTTTTATGTGGATTGTTTTGTCTGCTGACTGACTTCTGACCTTTAGGAAAGACAGGATTACTTTCTCAGGAACCTCGTTTTTATGGGGCTTTCTTTTTTTCTAATTAGCTGTGTTTTTAAAAAAAACCACAGCCCTTTATCCTTCTATTTTGTACATTACATACCCCAAAAGTTTGGGAGCACATAGTCATTTCAGACATCATTGCTGACAGTCTTTGTGTTTGTGTCAGATAATCTTCACTGCGTTTCCAAGCTTTTTTTTTTTTTTCCCCTTTAAACCACAGAAAGATTTATTTTGCAGTGCACAAGATGCATTCTACAATGTGTTGTGTCAGTCTTCATTTTGATTTTAGAGGAACTTTGGCAAAAAAAATCCCAAAAACGTGCTGTTTCTCTAATCTGGGATCTGGAAGGCGAAACTTAGCGTGATGCACCTGTTGGCTTTTAAAGCTGACTTCTTTGGATTTTCCTGATGCACACGTGCCTTCCTCCAAAGCTTTTGCTTGAACAAGACTTGAGCGTTGGTCCTTGCTTGCAAACCAGAGTGATTTCCTCTGTGTGCATTCCGGAATAGTCCATGTCTCTGTGAATTCTCCGTGCAGACCTTTGTGTGTCCCAGGCTGCTGCTAGTGTGTAGCTGGTCTATAGAAATCACTCAAGCTCGTGCAATTTATTAAATAACTGAAGGATTTTAAGTCTCTGGTGTGTTTTCATAGCAAGCTTTGTTTAGGAAGTGAGGTTCCCAAAGAAAGCAAACTTTGGACCCTCCGTGTTTAAAAACAAGCACATCCTTTGTTTTGAACGTTACCAGCAACCATCCATTGTCCTAAATAAAAAGATCACTAAAAAAAAATCAGCCATCCTTAGATGATCTGAATCCTATACTTCACTCTTCTTGTATAAGTGCATCTGTCTTCCAAAACACTGTTGTCTTTTTGCCAAAATGCTGAATTATACTGCTGAATGTATTTTTTACGTGTTTTTAGCAGGGTTGTTCTGTGGCTCGCCGATACTGTGCTGCTCACAAATTACAACGCTTCATGCTGCTTTGGACTAGCAGATGTTCCGAAAAAAGTCAAATCCCTTCCCACTGAAGTATTTCTGTCTTTTCTAATACGGACTTCCACAAGTTAAATGGCTCATTTGCAGAATCTTGCTTTAGTGCTGCCTTTTAAAGTTTTTTTTGGTATTAGACATACTCAGAATGAGACAGCTGAAAGCTCTCCTGCGTGTGATCACGTATGGACAGAGAACAGAAAGTCAGCACGCTTCAGTTTTCCAATATTGTTTGCACATGTTTTTGGGATGTGTATCTCTGCTGCAGGTAAATCATATTTCTAATGTTACGGTGAACTTTTTATCTACTTAAAAAGTACCTCACTGTCATTAGCATTAGATTTTTCTTCCGTCATCGGTGGACTGTTATGAAATGTGGTTGCTAAAGACCTGTTCGTAGAATAATATTTGAGATTGTAATACCCACTGGCTAGATTTATACATCTGAAACTCATTTGACCTTTATATCAGCTATCTTGGTACTTAAGGGTGGATTTTTCGTGCCCGATTTGCACGTGCAGGATGGGAAAAGTCTGTGCAAACAGCAGGTGGGTCGGCTGGACCAGTTTTACACCTTTGACCGCTGTAACAGCTAAGTAGGAATTTCATGAATGAGGGAAAAGAAAGAAGCACGCCTGGCTCTGAAAATCTGTGCCTGATGGCTTAGGGCTTTCTAGCCTAAAAACTTCTTCTCTCGCTCTGCCTCGTTCAGCTTGTTCCCTATTTTCCGTGCTTTCCTCTGTCGTCATGTTCTCTCCGTGAAGAGGATGGTAATGGGCTCTCTATCCAGTATTTTGTGGCCGTTCCTCATCACATGGATTAAACGATAACTTTTGTGATCAGTAAGCAGAAGAAGGTCTTTTCCTGTCTTCCCTCAACAGAGCAATTTCTTGGACCTTTTATGTCCCAGCTCTGGCACTCACCATCTTTCTGAAGCCCTTGTCCTACGTGCCTTGGCTCTCCTGGTATGAACAGCTCACAGCATCTGAGACTGTCTTGTCCCAAATAATTTATATTGCTTCTGATTTATCTTTGAATTAAGTGACATCCTGGAATATCTCATGGATTACACTGTAATAGTTAAAATTCTGAGCTAGACTGCTTTTCTGTGCAAGTTTTCTCAACCTACAGTTGATTCTGTCACTTCTCTAAACAGAGCAGTGTGCAACGTGAAAGTCATTAAAATGTATTTAGGAATGAAATATGGACGTTTTCTCAAAATAACCACAGAGCATATGACTGTTTTATGTAGAACTACACAAGTACTTGTGTACATACTGACAGCTGAGGTCGTGTAAAGAGTTAAAGCACAACTATTTTTATTGGACATTGCTGCAAACACTTCCAAACCCATTTCTCCATGTAGTGCACATTAGTAATGGATTACACTGGGAAATGTGGTCTCAGTATTTACAATACAGAATGTGCTTTCCTTTTGTGGAGACCTACGGAAAGGAAACTTGCACAGCAGCAGATGATCATTTCAGTCGATTTTCCTCCTTTCCTACTCCCACCCTCTTTTTTTGGGACATAATGTAGGGGTTGTAAAGCAGTCTTTAAGTAATGTTCTTGCTGCCACTTCCAGTGAGAAATCTTGGGGCCTTGAAAGCACTGTGGAATTAGCTTTTCGATGCCAGTGTTTTCTTCTTGTACGTTCTCGACTTTGATTCTTTTTGAACAGATCTATAAAAAAAAATCAGAGCATTGGAAAATAAATGTTTAGAAAATTACGATGACTTAAGAGATACAGTACTGCACTTGACCATGCTAGCTCAGTAACCTGCAGCTTTCAGTGTCTGAGGACTCTTGGCTTATTTATAATACAGAGGAATGAAAAAAGCTCTTAGTTTGGGCAAACCTGGAATTTTGTGGCTGTAGGCTTCAGATAGTTGGTCCTACAGGAGCAGATAATTTCCTGTTCGTAGGACTGTACAGCAGCTTAATTAAGCAAGTACTTCACAGGATCAGGATCCTGTCTGAGAGTAAGATCGAAACCCAGTGGGTTGAAAAGATTGTTTTACCTCACAGTGTATGGAAAGCAAATGATACCAAAAGAAAAATAAGAATCTTGGAGATCCTTTAAGCATAGTCATGTTGAGTAAAAGCATGTACTACGGCTTTGGATTGTTTTTAACTGCAGTATTGCACATTTGAATCTGGAAAGTTTCAAAGTACTGAAGTTTTAAAGAATGTTAAATGTTCAGAGAGTTCTGGTTTAATTCATGTGTTTTGAACCTTTGGGTTTACTTTTTCAAGTGATTTTCTGCAGCCATGAGAATTATAAATTTCTCTTAACATACAGTCTCAAGTGTTGATGCTTTAAGCGAAATATAAACCACTCTGAATCTTACAATGAAATGATAAAAGTATGCAGCAATACGAGGAGGACCTCAAAACAGCTGACTATGCACGACACGTTTCCTTCCCAGATTTTAAACCATTTGTCCAGATGTTGAAAACAAGTATTTCTTGTCACACCTGAAATAGTCCTTTTGCTCCCTCTATTTCTTGTATAACTCAGCTTCCCCTTTGGGTGCAGAGGTTGTCCATGATAATGAACCTGGTTTGAGTTGGCAGCAGGACTCAATCTGTATGAGCTTTGCTTCAAAAATACTCAGTTCATCTCAAGTCAACGCTGTGTTTATATAACAGTTTGGCAATTTAGCACCAAATGCTGGAAAGTGCATAATGTGGCTCTTTAAATGGTTTTAATACTAGTAGTAATGTTTTCAGAAGATTCTGATTTCATATTGCATTTGTATTGGGTTCTGATGAATTTTGAACTGAGCTTTAAAAGAGTGTGGGGTTTTTTTTTAGAGGGAGCTTTATGTGGCTTCCTTCTTATCAGACTTATGTTGAACGAGGCTTTGAGCAACCTGGTGTAGTGGAGAGTGTCCCTGCCCATGGCAGGGGGGTTGGAACTAGATGATCTTTGAGGTCCCTTCCAATCCAAACCATTCCGTGATTCTCTGATTCTATAGTGGGGGGCACTCTCAGTGAGAAATAAAGGTTTATCCAGTTTTGGCTTTGGAGTGCTGGATCCTTCTGTTGGTCAGTGTTGCACAGTTTGAATGTATTAGTGCAGTTTTCATGGACAGAAGTGTAGATTAGAGAATTTCGTAGACCGCTGACATTTTTAGATGTGTAACTGTGCATATGTATGATTACTTAATTTTGGGAGTAGTTGTTGAAATCACATCACTGTGCAGCTTTGGTATTTTTCATAATGTCATTGTATTCTTTAGGCAGTGTCACACATGAGGGCAGGTGTAAAATTTCCAGAGTTCTTTGTTCAGCTTGCGTGTGTGACCGTGTGACTTTCACGTATTTTCCTAAAAATACAGATTCATGCTGATTTTTCACCCCTTTGTGTTTCTCTCTGTTTCCAGGTCACCTGTTTTACAAATTCGGGATCACAGAATCCGACTGGTACCGAATCAAGCAGAGCATAGACTCCAAATGCCGAACAGCCTGGAGGCGGAAGCAGCGCGGGCAGAGTCTGGCCGTGAAAAGCTTTTCCAGGCGAACGCCTTCATCATCGTCTTACAGTGGTTCAGGTAAAAAAACCAACAAAGAAACCCCTCAAACCCCACAAAAACCGAACAAACCCCAGCAGAAATGGAAACTCACAGTAATAATGCCATTTGGTTTTCAATATACCTGAAAATTATTTTGATCTTAAGTTATATTCACAACAGGTGCACGTACTGCCCTCAAATTTGAATGTTTTTGTGTAACAAAGCTACAAAGAGAAACCCACATTTCTCACAATTCAGTTTTTGCAGTGGATTTTATATTATTGCTTTTTGGTTTTCTCTTTTTTTTTTATTTTGAAATACCATTTATCACTGGCAGAGAGGCCTGTCTGTTACAGTGTATGTGTGTCCACCGTGCTCCTCAAGGAGTGTATGCATGTATCAAGTGAAGCCAACCATTTGTAATTAAATCATCATGGGCCTTCAGTGAAAGCCCAGCCACCTCCTGGTGTGTTCAAAGTCCTTCCCAGCCTCATAGAATCACAGAATCATAGAATGGTTTGGGTTGGAAGGGACCTCAAAAATCATCTAGTTCCAACCCCCCTACCATGGCCAGGGACACCTTCCACTACACCAGGTTGCCCAAAGCCTCATCCAACCTGGCCTTGAACACCTTCAGGGATGGGGCATCCACAACTTCTCTGGGCAACCTGTTCCAGTACCTCACCACCCTCAATGTAAAGCATTTCTTTCTTATATCTAACCTAAATCCACCCTCTTTCAGTTTAAATCCATTGCCCCTTGTCCTGTCACTACACACCCTTGTAAAAAGTCCCTCCCCAGCTTTCCTGTAGGCTCCCTTTAGGTACTGGAAAGCTGCTATAAGATCACTCCGGAGCCTTCTCTTCTCCAGGCTGAACAGCCCCAACTCTCCCAGCCTGTCTCCATAGCAGAGGTGCTCCAGCCCTCGCATCTTCGTGGCCCTCCTCTGGACTCGTTCCAGTAGCTCCATGTCCTTCATGGGGTTGTACCAAGCGAGATCCCTGGTGGGATGAGCTTCTAATCCTGTTTCAGTTGCATTAATGATCCTAGAAAGGAGGTGAGATGTGTGTGCTTGCTCACAAAGAGAAGAGGGAGAAGGGAGTCTAAAACAGCAGCGAAACAGATTTGCCAGAAATGAAAGTGTAGTATGTTCCAGTGTGTGAGAGAGATTGGCTTTGTTGATTTGTGTGGTCTTATCTGGATGCAGAGCTTCACTGACATGCTTGAGAACGTCCATCTACGTGTTAACTGCAAAAATTCAGCACGTGCAGCTTCGTGCTCTCATACGGGTGTGTTTACCACGTCCAGTTTTTTCAGTAGAAGGCCAGAATGTTTCTACAACTCATGTTTGCAAGAGGAGTCAAGTGAATAAACCTTTCTCAGTGTGTTCACACCATTTAGTAGGACGTGCTAAATTTTGTTCCTGAAGTATTTGCCTCTGAAGCAATTAAATATGTTGTAGGTGATTCTATATTTCCATATAGGTATGTAGGCATGAATAATAATAACAAATGAAAAATACTGACCTAAGAAGTGTTCTCATAGGACGTTTCTGGCTTATGCTTTTAATATAAAGCAGTGTTATGGGACATTTGTGCATCATATATTAAAAACAGTGTTTTGGAAGTGAGCCCAAAGAAAAGGAAGTAAGTTTATTTGCCTGCATAAAATTTTTGGTTGCATGTTAACACTAACCACTGTATCTCATGCAAAGAATGCCAAAATCTGCTTTTAATGGAAAATTTTATGTGCTGGAACTGGTAATCATATCCAAAATTCTCAAATTAAAACAACTAATCAACGTAATGATAACCATAACCCATATATGTTGATGGGATTTTTATTTTAGGTCTCTTAGCAATCAATATTTTAGAGTAAAAATGCAGTAGTAAGTAGATATTGTGGACCTGTGCTCATTAGACTGTACTCCTTGACTGTTGTTGAGATTTATTATTAAAAAATATTAATCTTTAATCTCCTGGTTTGGAGATTTGGGGAGACCGGTGTAGAGCTGTAAAGCACAGACTCAGGCTCAGTGAATTCTTGTCTTGAGAAGGCCATAAGATAAGAAGTTTTGGTGTTTTTTTTCCTTCTGGTTAAGCTGAAAACTCGATTCTCCCTCCACCCCCCAGTTCCACTGACGTGGTTTGTAAGTTGTTCCATGGGTACAAAGACACCTGGATTAACTCCTGGGATTTGAGCAGTGTGCTGACTGAGCAGGAGGGAGTAGCGTGGTGCACTCACTCATGGACTGGTTCTGCAAGAGCCACCGTGGTGTTTCGGGTTGTGCACCCCGGCCAGCTCATGTAGGAGTTGGCCAGCTGCCTTTTGTACACCAATCTCCAGGATTTCCCTAGGAGTTTTCATGCCACCTGGCTCTGCCACTCTACAAGCTATCTCATCTCCCAAGTCCCCTAGATGGCAAAGAGGTGGCTGCATGTCCTTTTCGAGATGTCTTTGGTCCTGAAGATGGTGGAAGTCAACTGAGGCATCTTGGCATGCCATTGCCAGGACTGAATACACTGCAGCCAAAAGCAGAGTACCGGCAAGAACGTTAACAGCTGCCTTCGGTAATGGTACGTGAAAATGATCCCATGGAGTCAGAGTCTTCTGTAAATTTTCTTCACAATATTGCTTTTACTCAGAATGTCGTTGGCATCGTTTTCTGGAAGGCCGTAAAGATGTTAGATGAATTTACCACTACATTTGCACCCGCTGTGAAAAAGCTCTTAGAAAAACAGGCTGCTTTTCAGAATCAGGTAGTCCTTTGGAAAACTAATTTGCATTCCAAAAATCAGGTGGGAGTGGTACTTTGCCTGAAGAAAGAAGAGGCGGTATGAGGAAAAATAGGAGAGTGGGTTGAGTATATAGGGAAGAGAAGATGCAAGGAGAAAATGTGGATTCCCACATGTTTAAAAAGGGTAACTTCTGCATGACAGGGCTGTAGTTCCACTGCTCTGTTCAAGGAACTTCGTGAACCG